ACTGTTATTACAAAGTAGCTTTTACTATATTTTGAACATTGGAACACAAGTTTCCCAACAGATTTTTATTTATATAGTGTAAAAGGTGAAAGCGATAATAACAGTTCAATTTCGTATTTAAGTTTAATTAGCACATACATACACTCAAACATTATTTATTCCATATTAATCTATAATCAATCTTATAAATTTTTGTGAAAATTGTCACACACTAGATATCATCCTATAAATTTATGGTTAACGGTTTTTTAGTTGAATTGCAATGGTTATTAGCGTTTTTTTAATTGATTATATGCGTTGCATATCACCAGTACCGCTTTGTATAAAATTTATTTGTATATTACAATATATATATATATATATATATATATATATATATATATATTAAAATTTAAAAACTGATTCTTAATATATGGACATTATTTTAAGAAATAGCTTTTATATAATAGCATGTAATCTATTTTACTGATAGGTAATTTAAAATAGATAAAAGTATCTTGCATTAAAACTTTGAAATGAGAATATATATTTATGCATATATACATATATGTATATATACACATACATGTACATCGTAAGATAATATATTTTTCATTTCAATATTACCATTAATTGTTACATAATTATTTATTTTTAATAAAAAAGAAGTAGAACATTTTGTGATAAGATAACATTGCAAAAAAAGTTTGTATTGAAAAAGTTTAATATTAAAAGTACAAAATTTTGATGTAAAATTATCAAGATTATCTTAAAGATTATTCATATAGATCTTGCAAAATTCATATATACCTAATAATAATTTTAATTTTACATGAAATTTTTATTTTCCATATAATGTATAAAAATAAATAACTATATCATATCATAATTTTCCGAAATTTTACGTAACTTGAATGCTATCTAAAATAGCTTTGAGAGCAGTTTTAGAATCTTGAAATGGATCAATTACATTTGCGCGACTAGCCTTCATTGGTTTCTCTAGAAATACCTTCAACATACTTCTTGTTTGCGTTAAGAAATAATCTCTCTGAGCAATTTTTTCCAAAGCCTTAAAACATCCTTCCAAATTCCAATCGATTGTCCCACTGGTTTTATCTTCACTCTAAGAAACGAATGATTGTTAATCACTTTTTCGCTTTGATGTATCTTCTATGTTTAGATAATTCTTAATTTTTCTTACTTTTATTAAACCAAGATTAACTAGTAATGCATTATTGAAATTTGAGATTTGATTAGTCTCTACAGCATAAGAAAATAGTTTTGCGTATAAAGCATCTGACAAGGATTCTGCTTTTATTCTCACATTCATGTAGCCACTATCACATAATGCCGATACTTTCATAGTTATCCGTAATAGTTCCTCTATATATTTCTGTTCTGTTTTGCTTTTATTTGCCAAGTTCTGAAATAAGAACTATACTTCATTAAAAAGGAAATAAGTACTTATACACATTAATACGTACCGTTGCATAGTCGATAAAAGCTTGAACATTATCGCCTTGTAGTAGTAGCAATTTCTCACCTATTGGTGATTTCACGAATTTTGCTACTGTCATTACTGTATTTCGTGCAATATTATTTTGTTCCTCGTTATCTTTGTCACTTACTTCATCCTCATTATTATCATTTTCGTCTTCTTCGCTCTGTTCATCCTCATTATCGTCTTCCTCCTCCTCATCCTCAGTATAATCCTCATTCAAAGAATTCAATGCATCAATTTTTCTCAATTTTGTAAGAATTTGTCGAAGTTTTTCGCGTCCTTCCGTTCCAAAGCAATTACCGTCCAACTCTAGATTTGTCAGAAGAGTTTTATCGTGCATGGCTTTAGCAATAGCATTTCCAGCATCCATGCGTAGTTCATTATTACTCAAGTCCAGATTTCTAAGGGATGTATGATTGCCGTGGATCTGTAACGCTTCTGCTATAACTAAAGCCCCTTTAGTCTTTAATAAACAATCTCCGAGGTTTAATTCCTCCAGACCCCGGAATGTTGGTAAAGCTTTAGCAAGAGCTTTGGCTCCTTTCAATCCGATCGTATTATCGTTCAAATTTAACACTCGCAAATTAGGATTGACAGATAAACCTTTTGCAATCGCCGCGATACCCACATGGTATATACCATTCTGTTGCATTACAACTTCCTCCAATGTTTTTAGTCTTTCAAATACAGATGCTAATGCTTGCGCACCCTCATTCTCTAACCGATTTCTACCAACGATGAAAACTTTCAGTGCAAACGGCGTGCCTATAGTAAAATTTCATTCCATTAAGCATTTGGAGTAAATTAAAATAATATGATATACATGATATCTGACCTTCACTAGAACTATTTTCATAACACTTTTCCAATGCTTTAGCTAACATTTTTCCACCTGATATACCAAGACCGTTGTTATTCAATTTCAACTGCTGAAGTGTATAACATGGACTTGATGCCAACAGATTTGCTAACCCTTCAATACCGATTGGACCAAAAGCATTGTCGCTCAAGTCAAGTTCAGTAAGTTGACTACTGGCAGTGCACAGTGCTGTTCCTAGATACTCCAATGCTTTTGGGATTTCTGTTTTCAAACGACCAGTGAACATGTCCTTCCATAAAGCTTTCTTCAATGGAGTTCCTTTTTCTTTCAATGCCTCTGCTATAACTTCTGCGGCTGGTGTACCCAATGTGTTTCCTTCCAAATCCAAATACTCCAAGCATGGACATGCTTTAATCGCTTCTACCACTCGAAGAGCTATATAATAATAAGATTTATATATTCCTTTTAGCTGAACTTCTTATATATTTCAGCTTTTCTCATTTTCTTTTTATGTTGAAGAGAAAGAGAAAAATAAACTGCAAGAAGTGCAAGTTCAACTAAAAAGAACAGACCTTGTAAATTCATTGATAAAGAAATTCTCTGGCAGTAATAAAGAAATATGAAAATAATACCTACTAATAAGTATTTAATTTACATATTTTGTAGATACATATACAATTAAAATACAAATTTATGCAGCAAATAAGATTTCGTAAAACAATAAATTGTGTCTCGAAATCAAGAATTGCTCGCATAATTATTTATAGCTTCGTGCGCTCTATGCACGTAATAAGAAGATACATTATAAGATACAGTGAAAATTCTAATTACCATCATCTGCGGTATCCAACACAAGCGACTGACCGGCAAATGAGACTCCCACTGATTGTCGGCTCACATCCTTCAACTGCTCGCCAATCTCGCCTAGACTAAACATGTTGCGCGTTTGCAAGTGTCACGGAAATTTTATTAAATTGATTTTGATTGACGATCCTTGATGTAAACTGTGATAAGCACCGATAGACCGTCTCTTTGTTGATACCGTTTTATCGCTTCTCCTGTAGTGCGACTAGTGCGTATGTTTTGCCAGGTGGTAAAAATGCGACGAAACTGCATACGCGGGAAACCAATGCCAACCTTTAAGTCGAGTCAGTCGAGCACTGGAAAAAAAATCTCTATAGTTACGAACGTACTATCTGTTCGTTTGCTTGCACTTTTTGCACTCAGTATCTTCGATTTCTTTCTCTTCAACGATAAAATGTATATATATCTGTCTCATTTTAATTACAATTTCAGTGCAAAAAATTTTTGAGGATTTCAAACGCAAAGAGACCTAATGTTAAACATATGTTATATATTTTTTTGAATATTTAAATTCAAATGATTATCATCAATTATATTGGGTCATCTAAAAAGTATCCGTGGTTTTTTGTCACTAGATGATGTTGATGGTCAACACATCTAGTGATAAAAAACCGCGGATACTTTTTAGATGACCCAATACTTCAAAACTCTTCATACAAAATATAAACGATTTCTAAAAACTTCGTTTAATTTATTTATGCCAATTAACTGTGTAAAAATAATTATTTAATTAAAATTATCTGGATAATTCAATTACATTTTTTTACACTTTTTAATTACATTTTAAAATTCTTTGTATAAAATACAAATAACTTTATAATTGTTTACAAACTTCATCAGCTATAAATTCATATGATTTGTAATTGCAAGGTATATCTAAATTAACTTAATCAGTAATTAAATTAATCAATTAAATTATCAAGTAATATTTTGTAAATGTAAACAGAATGATTAATTTTATCTAAAAAAGATTTTGTTTACCAAAAAAATTAAACGACGAATTATGTAAAAATTTTTAATTTAAGCTATTCTATTGATTGAACTATAATCGCTGATTAAATTGATTAAAATTTTGCTAAAAAAATCGCCCATGATGTATTTTATAGATAAAAATTTCTTTCACATAACAGATCGAGAAAAATTATGTTTGGAAAAGTCAAATAATGTCATGGGAAAATTGTAAAAGATGTATATTCACGGATAGTAAATAGGGAAATTTTTTTTCAGTGAGTTTCGAAATGCAATATTGTAAAAAGTGAGTTATTGCTCATTTACGCAGGTCTGTAGGTAGATGATGATTTGCAACGTCGGTGCATGCCGAAATAAGAAATGTTAGACCCGTGAACGTCTAATGTATAAATAATAAAGTAACATTAAATATCAATATAAAATTAATTTCAAATTCTTTTCTCTCTACAAAGAATATTATTAAAATCAGATTATTAAATTAATAAAATAATACATATTGATCATTGAGAACCAGAAATGATGCATAAAAATCAGTATTAATATTAGGATAAAAGCTTCAAGTTTATTGGAATGAAACATGTAACGCAATAAAACATTATTTGTTATAACAAATTTCACATTTTCACATAAAGATCTTTTTTCTCGCAAATTTATTTATAAAATATTTTGAAAAAATATTTTGTATCCAAAAAAAAAGAAACAGTTACAGCTATTGACTGTAACAATTGCGAAATAATTACATAATTCATTGAACATTCGAGACAGAATCATTTGATCTTTTTTTTCTTTTAAAAAAATCCATATATTTATTGTTAATATGTGTGGAATATCAATAATAAACAATAAACATAGGATATGCAAATTCAGTTTTTCTCAAGTGCTAATAAAGATGCTTTATTACACTGAATGCTGTTTTTCCATAAACTGGCCACTGTGTCTGTGTATATATATGTGTGTATGTGTGTGTGCGTGTGTGCTTATGACTTTTATTATATTAATATATCATAAATATTTTTTCTTCATTAATTTGATTCTTTCAGAATATAGGGGATGTATCTAGAAATATTTTTTAGCTTTTTCTATCTCTTTAGTAAAAAGTTTATATCTGTAGCATATTCTCGCTATTCATTCCATTTAAAAATGACACGCTGCAACATATTCTAAATTTGTGAAAGAGCACAGAATACGGAGCACGAAACATCATATTTGAATCTATCAAATCATATTTGAATCCATAGCAAAAAGGATGACAAGCTATTATTAACAGAGGAAATGTTTTTTTTTTAATTATCTTTAGGCAAGAGAGTACAACACGACTATGTCTTTTTCTATATATAGGGTGGTCTTTAAGTATTTTAAAAGATTTTAAGAGATTTCTCACATTAATTCAAAATGGAAACTTGAAAACATCCAAAACGGCTAGTTTCAAAAATGCATACTTATCTTTGAATCTATTTCTGATCAAAAAAATAATGTATAGTCCCAAAAACATAAACAAAATTTCATCGAAATAACTTGAATAGTATTCGCAATTTTTTCTTCAAATTTGACATTCTACCTTTGACATCCTATACTAAGATATTTCGAGGACATATGGACTGTGTTCCATTTAACGTAGCTCACAACGTTCGTGAAATCATTTCATTCTTGCTGTTTATCAAATGTTAAACAAGAACAAAGATGCTCGCGAGTGTTGTGAATGTGAAGTGGAATATAGCCATGATTATATGAAATTTTTCGTCTTGAATTAATGTGAAAAAAATCATTCCTTAACATCTTTTAGAATAGTAAGAGATCAATCTATATAGTGGCCACTTTATACCTTCCTCACATTATACGGTCAACATTTAATACAAAAATTAATCTATTATATCTAATGACATTCCGAATGTGTTCGAATGTAGACGTCGATTAATGAGCTCTACTGTTAAAATTACTTAGAGACTAAATCTTGTTTTAAATGTACATAAATAATGACCTCTTATCTTAACTTTGCTTTTGCTGTGTCTCAAGTTAATAAATTGTCCATTTCCTTTCTATCTTTTGACTTAAATATCGAAAATTTAAATTAATTTTCAAAGATTTAATTTTTACATAGTATGAGCCAGTAACTGACTTATACAAAAATCTAAATATTTGAATCTTAATGTTCTTCTGTGCCTTTTGGGTGAAGGACAGAAAGTGATTCTTCATAATGTGTCTCACAATGTTTTGTATGTGATGTGGCTCCAATAGAAGAGTCGTGTGCTGAAATTCGCCATGATAAAAGCAGATTTTGACTGAGCAATCTCGACTGTTTCTTGCGATTTCCAAACACGTCTAAAGTATATAGAGGTTAGAAGCCTTCCTGATACTGTTTAGAATCTAATTTCGCCTGAGTGAGCTCGAGCTGTCTTTTTGCTTCACATTGAGGGAAATTTTGTAGATCATAATATTGTGGTGCTATCATGAGTAACCAATCAGCTGTAATAAAAATATATAAAATTTCAACAATGAAAAATTGAAGAAAAATTGAGAAATAATTGATAAGTCAATAAAAGAAAAAAATAATGTAGCGTCAAATATCTGCTAATTGTAATGAAATATGAGAATAACTTACGTTTAATATCAGTAACTGTTCTGATATAATTTTTAGTAGTAAGCACAAATTCATTATAAATAACCCATTCTGGTTTGTGATCGAGACAACTGCTCGGATGAAGTTGTACTACCTGGTTATCTTTGATAGTTAGGTAATGTCCTGTTCTCTCTAAATGCGCCACCTGTTGAAATAACAAAATCAAAATTTAAAAACACATAGTTGGACAGATATAGAGAAATTCATTACAATGTAAATCGATATTTATGTTACCTGCATGAAGAAACCATTAACGAGAGCTTTTCTGATGTTAATGTAATAATCTTTTGAATTGAAGTCCGTCGAAGTGCGTTTTAATACAAATCTATCCATTATTCTACTTAACTGTTGTCTTACATTATCTCCGCTCTTCAATGATCGATAATTTACGTAATTATCGTAACACCATTGAACATCATCCATATCTGTAAAATGAATTCGTCATTGATAAAGCTATTGAACTATATTTCATGACAAAAATAAGAAATAAGCACTTACGTTGTTTGAAAGAATGATATACATTCAGTAGCGTCAAATGGTCACCATCAATGTGTGCAAATTTCATTTTTGCATCATCCGCTGCTTTTTTCGATTCATTCGGCCTCACAAAGCACTGTGGGACTAATACCATGTCAATCATCAATATACTACCATGTTATCTTACCACAATTCTGATTCTATTACTTTACTTTTAGAATTCTTTTATATATATTTTATTTATAATATTATGTAATAGATAATATATGTAATATAAATAAAAAATAAAAACTATTATTAAATTATTAGTACAGTATTAACGAATAATTAAATATTATTATATTACATATAACAAACCCCAATACGTTACCTGAAAGCATAGCAGTGATGCTGAGTATCTCATTACTGCAATTATGATTGCAAGAAGCTATAAGCATCTTTGCTAATTGAGGATCCAAAGGAAATTCTGCCATTACTGCGCCGAGATCTGTCAAATTTCCATCATCGTCCAGAGCTGCTAAATAATTCAAAAGGTCCAAAGCTCTCATAAGAGTTTCGGGCGCAGGTGGATCCATAAAGTCAAAATGCACCTATCGCACAACAAAAGTCATTACTTTTATGATACAAAATGATATTATTCAAAAATAAAAAATAAATAATTATTTTAATAATATAATATTATGATAAACGCACTAAATCATCGATGCCAAGTTTCTTCAATTGTAATACGACGCTTCCAAGATTGGAACGCAAAATCTCAGGATAGGTATTATCCTGCATCTCGTTTTTGTATGCTTTTTCTGTGTATAATCTGAAACACTTTCCAGGTCTTGTTCTACCAGCACGACCGGCTCTCTGTTGCGCAGAAGCCTTACTAATAGGTGACACTAAAAGAGATTCGACACGAATCCTAGGATTGTATACCTATTAATAAAAAGCATTAAAAATTAATAATAGGTTCATGATGATGAAAGTTCCAAGATTATTGATTTATATTAATTAAAGTCGTATTTACTTTTTGCTTGGCAAAACCAGGATCTATGACAAAGACAACTCCGTCAATAGTCAACGATGTCTCTGCGATATTGGTCGAAACGACGACTTTGCGCCCGATAGCACCGTTAGTTTTGGTAGGCGGAGCAGGTTCAAATATTCTTTGTTGAAGATTCGGCGGCAGTGTTGAGTACAATGGTATGCACTTTAATTCACCAACTTCAGGTCCCAAATTGTCCATTTCTCTTTTTATTCTCTTGCAAGCTTCTTCAATTTCTTCTTGACCAGTTAAAAATAGCAAAAGGTCCCCAGGAATTTCTTCACACATCTGTATCTGAATAACAGTTCTTATTGCTGCCTCCAAGTAGTCCCTCTCTGGCTCTGGTGTATAAAATATCTCAACTGGATGTGTTCTACCAGGTACGTTCATAAGTGGAGCATTATCAAAATACTGTTGAAACTTTCCAGCGTCCAAGGTAGCACTCATAATCACAAGTTTTAAGTCTGGTCTCTGTTTAATCACTTCTTTCAAAACACCCATTAGCAAGTCAGTAGCTAACGTTCTTTCATGAGCTTCGTCTAGCAGTATCACTTGATAGGCATCCAACATGGGATCAGACATCCCTTCCCGAAGCAACATACCGTCGGTCATGTACTTCAACACAGTCCTCGGTGAACTACAATCTTCAAAACGAATGCTGTATCCTACTTCTTGACCTATCAAAGTTACAATTTTTTAAATTTATTATTGTCGTCACAATACTGTTTCTGATAATATTAAAAATATTGTTTTCAGAATTTCTTTTACGAAATTCTTTTTAGAATTTTTCTATGTAATATATATACATACCTAAGGCAACATCCATTTCTTCTGAAACTCTTTGAGCAACGCTCATTGCAGCTACTCTTCTGGGCTGTGTACAGGCGACTCCTTTGGATCCAATACTTCTTGAATACTCTACACACCATTGTGGTATCTGTGTAGTTTTACCAGAACCTGTCTCTCCAACAAGAACAATGCATTGATGCTGGGACAACAATCTCATGAAATCAGTACGATACTCAAATACAGGTAAAGTTATTCTTTTCTTGTAAAGTTCATAGTATCTCGGCGTATATGGCAGCATGGTATATGGATTGAACTGTACTTGGCTTTTTGCTGCCGTCGTCCCTGGAGTTGTTGCATTGTTGGCAACGGTATTGTCCCTGCAAAATGATCATTATGTATGATCAATATTTTTTATTCTAATAGTTTGAACTTATTTAGCAAACAATAATACTGAATAACAACATGCACTGAAATAAAAATAAGTGCCTTCAAAATAAAAAGACTGCAAGTGAAATTGATAATAATTACTAATGCAGACATCAGCACATAAGTTTATGAAAATTATGGCGATACATGCAAACAAGTGTCTGTGATACATGGTATGCTCGCTAACAAAAAATAAACTATTTAAACTATAGGTTTATTTTTTATTACGAATATAAAATAGGTCAGACGAGAATCGTTACAGAGAGTAGCTACGAGAGTCTCCTCTGTCGCCGGAAGTGAGGGTTGTCGAAATAACAAATCCGTCACATTCGAGACTAATCGTCCATAAACGCCGACGAAGGATCACGCGCACGTGACAGGACACAGATCGCAGACATTATCGCGCGAACGATATCGTGTGAAGCACTCGAGCACGCGTCCGATACGATGCCGCGACATTGCACATGGCAAAAAGGGACTGCCCGCCGTCGCGCGTCGTCTGCGAAACGAGAACACGTTGATACACTTACGTGGCTTTCCTTTTGACATAGGGATCCACGACCTCAATCCTGCGCTTCGACATAGTGTTTCCGTCACTTCAAGCGCGGTTAAACAAAATGCAAAACTGTTTACGAAATTTCAGACGAGGCGTCAGTCTCGCCAAGATGGCAAGCAGGCGCCAGCAGCGACTTGGGGCTAGAGCTTCTGCCCTTGTGGTAGCGACAATCGACAGCAGATGGAGCTGATGATGATATTGAGTAAGCGAAAGGTAAAAAGAAGTATATAAAAGGAAAAAAATTGTTCTTTTATATAAATAAAAAACGATCGATTGGAATTCAGAAATGAAAATAGAATTTTTCCACAAAAAATAGATAAAACTTATTATAAATTATAACATAACTAGACAATTACTCACCTTATAAAATCAAACATTTTTAATGTTTAATAAAATTTTTATGTAATAAATATAACTGAAGTAAATAATATTAAGAATTGATAGCGCTCTACTAAATTTTTATAAAGGAAAATAAATTTCACATGGCTAATAGTCATGTATAAATATAACACTTTTGAAAAAATATAAACAATGCTAATAAATATAGAAAAGATGGTAATTTCAAGTTTATTTTTAAGTATAATAGAGGTATAAAAAATAATATATATACACACATATTACAATTAAATAAGTACATTTCTTACAATATACATAGCTTCATTGTCACATCCAAAAAGCAGCTTCGATCTATTGATATCAATACTGTTTATTGGTTTGTGCATAGCAGCACACAGTGAAGTCACATTAACTTTTCCATTTGTACTAATTGTATTCAACCAATGCATGTCTGCAGAATCTAAAATGGAATATTAAGATCAACTTATTATGTTGGAGTTATACAGGCGTGGATACTTTAAACTCTAAAATATTTTAAGGTAATTCTCTCCTCAAATTCAAGATGAAAACTTCATATAATTATATATAGTCTGAATTATACGGCTTACTTTTAACTTTAAAAGATACGGAGTATCAAAATTGAAAGAAAAATTTCGTTTTTTTCAAAGATTTCAAATACCACTTGGAATTTTTTGGCAAAATTTCCTTATAAAACCCAATATTCCTAGAATATTATAAATACTAAAAAAGGATAAATATTCATATAACCTTCTAAGGATATTATGTGTGCTTTATAAGGTCTATATTCAAATTTTCATCAAAATAACTCGTATAATCATATGAAGTTTTCGTCTTGAATCTGTGTAAGGAATTTTCCTTTGAAATTATTCTAGACTACTTAGTATTAACTCTCTTAATTAACAATTATTTTCAAGTTATTTACCGAGTTTCAATTTTGAACTTTGTGCGTTATTCCAATGCCACAATTCTCCACTGACAGAACAAGTGAAAAGATTGTCAGGTCTGTCTTGGTGGAATAGTATCTCACTAACGGCTTTGGTATGCGCATTAAGTTGTGACATTGGATAAGTATTCTGCCTTAAATCCCACACAGTTAAACTGCCGTCGTCTCCACCAGCGACCACAATATGTCTTTGTGTAGGATGATGCGTAATACTTGTAGCTGCTGTCTGTAAAATTATTTGTTACTTTATAAAACTTATAAGATTTTGTAGAACTTGATTAAAAAAATTAAAGATTTATACATATATTAAAATTATAGTAAAAAATATATTAAACTTACCTTAACTTGATCAGAGAGCATAAAAGTAGTTGCAGGCATATCCCGATCATTTCTCAAATCCCAAACTTTCATATGTCCTCTTGAATTTCCCGTAAGCACTTCATTGTGTTTTAAGAAATCAACGCAATATATAGAGCAGCTATCAGCATTTTCTAAAATAATTTAATTAAAAGATAATAAGTATTTAAATACAACAATCAGATTATGCAATTATTACAGATATAAATTAAGGCACATGTGCAGCAATTACCAATAATTCTAACTGGTTTTTTCTCTGCAGCTGTGAGAAGATTAAGCTTTCCATCCTCTCCCACTGAAGCTATATCTTGTTCAAAATTGGACAATGCAGTGCAAGAGGCATAATCCGTTGTCCTATAAAAATGCATTATTAAGAATATAATAAAACTTCACATTTTTACTTTGAAATTTAATATAATCAATTTAATAAATTACTTAAAACTATGTATAAACTCCCATGCCATGTGTTCCTTAAATTCGGTACATGTATCCTCATCAATTTGTAATAACCTTATTGAGCCTAAAGACGAAGCAGCGACAAAGAAATCTTTGCTGATAAACTAAAAATATATGTTCTATTAATTCTTCATATAAAATATATAAAATAAAAATTATTAATTTCAAGAAGGAATGATCTATTACCTTCAATTCAGTTATATCTCCAAGAAATGAGTACGATGACAAAACTACAGGATATGGTTCTTCGTCATAATTTGTTCTAAATGTCCAATATGTTATTTTATTTACCTGCATAAGAGAAATTTAACAAGATTAAATTTTGAACTATTTGAATTCATATCATTATTATAAATTGTTAATTTCTATTATTGAGAAATATATAAATATATATAAATATAACAAATATACTTGTACATTATGTAAATAAATATAAATAAATGTAAATATACGAGATTTATTAAATATACAAAAATGCTAATTAAATAAAAATGTATATTTATCTAGAACACAAATTTATAGGTTAGATATGCCAGAAATCTTACAGGATTATCCCAACTGCCAGTTAAAAAATTCTTCGCTTCAAAATTTCCAAACTGCCACCTTATTTTAGAAATTTTCTCGGATACAAACGTTCCCTGTACATTTTCACCCATTTTTCAGATAAAAATCGATGCGAATTCAGCCGGAGGAAAAAGTTAAGTAATTACAGTGGTGTTGGAATCGTCGAAGTGATCTCCAGCTGATCGTCTGTTCTCCGGCTCGCAATTCCCGTTCTGAAAAGTGCGCCATTGTGCACGTTCCTTATTTATAAGTCCTTATATGTTATAGCCCATATTCAGAACGCTTACAACGATGTTAGCGCTAAAATACTCTATATATTACCTTACGCATATTATAGAATTACGCATATTTCAAAGATAAAAGCGTGCTTTTAGATAAAAGCGCATTCTAAATACGAACCTATATATAAGTAAACAACAAAAGTTTATGTATTATCTATGCTTTTTTTATGTCTTTTTATCTTTTTCTCTCTTCGATAAATAATTATGTATTTCATTTTTTTTTTAATGCAGAACAATTGCAATTTACAACTACTATAATGAACCCAGAAAAAAAAGTTTCATATATATTATATACATATATAGATAATCACAAAAAATATTATTATATATAATATTATATAAAATTATATAAAAAATTGACATATTTTATAAATAATTATATATAATTATATATAAAATATGTCTAGTTATATAATATTTTTTCCTGGAAACAAATTTATAATATTAAAAAAAAAACAAATTATTTTTCGTACACTCGTACTCTTCCTTTTTTAAAATGTTTTATTTTATTTATTTTTATGAGAATTTCTTGAAATATATTTTACAAAATATTATATTATCACGGACTAAATATATTGCTTAAAATAAATTGCATAAAATGCATTTAGCAGCTTTTTAATTTTATAATGAATCATTAATTTTTATTTCTTAATTTTTCTTATTTTTTTTCTAAATTCTTGATTACAAATTTTCATTTCAAGTTCAAAAAATAATATATACATGATGCACAGTTATGGAAAACAGATTTTTTTATTCTATAATGAAATTTATATATGAGCTACCAATAATTATATTTTTTCATTTATAATAATATTCTATAAATGCGCATTTTTTTTTTAATTTTAGGAAGTCAGTTTCTCAAGTCGATTATCCAATTCTTTATCACCCGGTAAAAAATTTTTCATGCATGCAAGTATGTATAAATATGTATAAACATGTATAATGTATACATAAACATGTATAATACGGACATATTTCATATATACATATAATTATATATGTTTATGAATATTTATACGTGTTTATGTATGTTTATACATATTTATACATATTCATGCATAAAAAATTTGTTCTTCTATCCTGATAATAATCGATATTTATGTTTTAATCTAACGTCTAATCTAATTGTACCTTTATTAATACATCTCCGATTATGTGATCAAACTCCATTTATAACTTAAAAAATTTTTTCTTCTTAATTGTGCACCATATCTTATTTTTTGTACTCGAAATGAAATAGTCATATGATTAGATTTAAGAAACAAAAACAAGAAATAAAAATTCAATTATAATACAAATATATAAAATTGAAAAATCTGCTTAATCATCTTTTTAGCAATATCATAAATTAATTCAATCAGCAGAATTATGTAAATTATAATACTTTTGTATAATTAATAGTTTAATTTCAATGTTTATTTAAATTAAAATTTGAATATCATTGATAAGAAAGAAGAATATTATTTGAAGTACATCGAAAATTATACATATATGGCGCACAATGAAGAACAATTTTTTATTATATGTGTCACAATATTATCTAATTTTTCTTCGACGAATTCTCATCGCGTAAGAAGACGATAAAATCTATTTTTAAGGGTTGGTGGGAGCCATCGCTGTTTATAATTTCGGCTACAACGTGATGAATTCACAACGTACCGTTTACGTGCAACGAGATGTCGAATATCGTGTGTTACACCATATCACTGTTTTGTCTCATTTCGCTATGTTTTGCTTGCGATGGTGTGAGTGAATCTTTGCGGAAAACGCGTAAGTATGAAAGTTATTTATTATGCATTACAACAGTTTCTGCAGGTGGTCACCCTATAATTAAACTATTGTATAATTAAACTATTGTATTATATAAAATATAATAATTTAATTAAAAAGTTTATTTCATAATTAATACTGCATTGTAATCAATAAAACTCATAAGACTTTGGACAGAACTTTGGAACTTTGATATAAATTAAAAAATTATAAAAATTATAAATAAGAAAGTTATAATATAATAATGTCACTAATAAAATTAATCATTTCATTAAGTCTTGTTTATCTTTTTTCTTTCCGTTATATTTATTATATACATAAATA